ATGGCAGCACCTGACGTGCTCCTCCAGTGCTGATGGAAGTCACCATCACTCAGATGACACCTCAACTTGTCAACAGTTTAACGCAGAGGCAGAAAAGGCAGCAGGGCCACCYTTATAGTGGTGAGAAGATAAATCCAACCCCTTCCCCTGGCACCGGGCAGCTCCTCTGGGGTCCCGCGGTCACCTCACCGGGACAGGTGACAGGGGTGGGGACCCGCCACCAGCGCCAGCCGCTCACCTCGGTAGTTGTACAGGGCATTCCAGAGGAACTGGGATGACACCACCGGCCTCTCCACGAACACTGTTTCYCCTTTGCGGATGTTTTTGGTGGCGAACAAGCCCTTTCCCTGCCGGGGGACAAGCGCGGGTCAGGGACGCGCCCGAAGCCGAGTCATGCCCGCGGGGTGAAGGAACCGCGCCATCCCCAGGGGACCCTGAGGGCTTTTACCCGCAGTGTCCCCCCGAGCCGGGCGGGCAGGGACGGACCCTGGCGGAGGGGAGGCTCACCTTGGCGCTGCTGATGAACCGCGCCTCCGCCGCAGCCCCGGCGTGTCCCACCGCCGCGGCCGCCATCTTCGGGCGGCGACTTCCCCGCCCTGACCCGCCGGGCAGCGCCTCTTCCTCTTCCTCCTCCTCCTCCTCCTCCCGTTCCTCCTCCTCCTCCTCCTCCTCCGCCCCCTGCGCCCCTCAGGCGCCCGCGCTCGCCATCGCCGCCCTCAGCCCCGGGGCGCGCGGGGACCGGCCGCCATCTTAGCCCCCCCCCTTTCCTCAGCGCCCCAAAAAACACCGCCAAAACACCCCAAAAAACACCGCCAAAACACCCCAAAAGGGGATCGAGGCGCCCCCCCTGCCACGCCAAAAATGTACAAGAGTTTGCTGTCTCTCCACAATTAAATATTATTGTTTAACGGTGGATGAATGGCCGTCACAGCCCTGTCAGGCGGGATCACCAGTTGCCCCCTCACATGAGGTCTCTCCTCGTGGACAGAGGAGGCTTCGCTCGCTGCCTTGCGCACCCAAAACTGGCCCGACTGTCCCCAAAAAAGCCTTCAAAACACGCTACTGCGGCCACTCTGCCCTCCTGCTTGGGAGTCAGCAAAGCCTGAAGTCCCGGGAAATGCGTGTTTGGTTGTATTTACTAATCCACAGCGCTGGGGCTCAGCCCCGCTCCTCGCTGACCAGGCTGCGGGAACAGGGTTGGAAATTTGGGACCATTCCACAGTCGGGGCTTTGGGGAGTGATTTGGTGTCACTAGATGTCACTGTCGGCTCGTGGTGGGGACACGACAGCGGGTGACAAAGGTGGAGCTGCCACCCCTGTGCCCGGGGCAGCAGCTGGGGCACGGCCACAAGGCTGGACATTGCCC